GTGTGACATCCATGTGACATCTGTGTGACACCCCACCCCACACAGTGTGTGACATCCATGTGACATCTGTGTGACATCCCACCCCCACCCCCGCACAGGTGTGTGACATCCATGTGACACCCCACCCCACACAGTGTGTGACATCCATGTGACAGGTGTGTGACAGGTATGTGTGTGACACCCCACCCCTACCCCACCCAGGTGTGTGACATCAGTGTGACATCCACGTGACATCTGTGTGACACCCCACCCCACACAGTGTGTGACATCCATGTGACAGATATGTAACAGATATGTGTGTGATACCCCACCCCTACCCCACCCAGGTGTGTGACATCAGTGTGACATCCATGTGACATCTGTGTGACACCCCACCCCACACAGTGTATGACAGGTGTGTGACATCCATGTGACACCCCACCCATCCAGGTGTGTGACATCCATGTGACAGGTGTGTGACATCCCACCCCACAGTGTGTGACATCCGTGTGACACCCCACCCCACACAGTGGGCGACATCTGTGTGACATCTGTGTGACATCCCACCCCCACAGTATGTGACATACGTGTGACAGCCCACCCTGCACATGTGTGTGACATCCATGTGACAGCCCACCCACACAGGTGTGTGACAGGTATATGATATTCGTGTGACATCCGTGACACCCCACCCTGCACACGTGTGTGACATCATGTGACACCCCACCCTGTACACGTGTGTGACATCTGTGTGACACCCCACCCCACCCAGGTGTGTGACAGGTGTGTGACAGGTGTGTGACACCCCACCCCACACAGTGTGTGACATCCATGTGACACACGTGCCCCCCCCAGGTGTGTGACAGGCGTGTGTGTGACACCCCACCACAGTGTATGACAGGTGTATGACATCCGTGTGACATTCGTGTGACACCCCACCCCACAGTGTGTGACATCTGTGTGACATCTGTGTGACAGGTGTGACACCCCACACAGTGCGTGACATCCATGTGACACCCCACCCTGCACACGTGTGTGACATCCGTGTGACACCCACCTATGTGTGTGACAGGCATGTGACATCTGTGTGACAGGCGTGACACCCCACACAGTGCGTGACATCTGTCTGACACCCCACCCTGGACACGTGTGTGACATCCGTGTGACACCCCACCCTGCACACGTGTGTGACATCCATGTGACACCCCACCCCTGTACACATGTGTGACATCCATGTGACACCCACCCCACCCAGGTGTGTGACAGGCGTGTCCCCTCTCCTGGTGTCACCCACCTTTGCCGGATGATGTCCAGCCCCTCGCCCAGCTCCAGGTGTCCCTTTGGTTTAAAATCAAACACTGCAGAGGTGAAAAAACACGAACCTTCATCACCTTCATCATCCCAGATCCTCCAAACCACCCCCAAATCCTCCAGAATCCTTTACCCCCCCAAACCTGATCCCCCTCCCCAAATTCCTTCATTTTTTCCCAAAAAAAAACTCATTTCCTCCTCCCTTCCACCAAAACCTTCCTCAAAATCTCCCAAAAGATTCCCTATGTTATTTCCTTAAAAAATAAGAATCTTATTTCCTTATTTCCTTAAAAAAAAACCTTACCTGGTTTTTCCCCAACCACCTCGAGCAGCCGGGCCTGACTTTGATCCCCAACGGGCTGGGGGAGAAAAGGGAGAATTTTGGGGGATTTCACCAGAACTGGGTGAATTTTATCATTTTTGGGGAGGTTTTTTGGGGGTCTCACCACATCAGGATGGGTTCTGTTTGGCAGCTGCAAAGCTCTCAGGTAAAATTTCTCTTCCAGTTCGGATTCTTCGGTCTCGAGCGCCCGGAGTTGCCCCCGGAGATTTCGGCCCCGTTCCCTCAGCGCTGCCAATTCTGGGAGCTGATGGGAGGTTTCTGTTGAGGAGATTTTGGGGGGTCCAGGAACCCCCTCCGAGGACCCCCAACCCAAATTTCGAGTCGTACCGTCTCAGCTGATGCCTTGTCATGGGTGGCCTGGGGGGAAAAAAATTTAAAAAAAAGGGGTCAGGGGGTCCTGGGGAGTTTGAGGGGAAGAAAAGGGGTCGGGTGGGGGATCTTGGAGTGGTTTGAGGGAAAAGGAAGGGGGTCCAGAGGGGATTTTGGGGGTCCCAGGGGGAGTTGAGGGGTTTGAGGGGGAATTAATGATGGAGTGAGGTGCTGGAAAGAGTTCCAAAGGGAACTGAGAAATCCTGAGGGGTTTGAGGGGGAATTAATGATGGAGGATGGACCTGTGAGAGGGTTCCAAGGGAGACTGAGGAATCCTGAGGAGTTTGAGGGGGAATTAATGATGGATGAAGGTCCTGGGAGAGAGTTCCAAGGGGAACTGAGGAATTCTGAGGAGTTTGAGGGGAATTAATGATGGAGAGAGGTCCTGGGAGAGGGTTCCAAGGGGAACTGAGGAATCCTGAGGGGTTTGAGGGGGAATTAATGATGGAGTGAGGTCCTGGGAGAGGCCTCCAAGGGAAACTGAGGAATCCTGAGGGGTTTCAGGGGGAATTAATGATGGAGGGAGGTCCTGGGAGAGGGTTCCAAGGGAACTGAGGAATCCTGAGGGGTTTGAGGGGAATTAATGATTGAGGGGGGTCCTGTGAGGGGTTTTCAAGGGGAACTGAGGAATTCTGAGGGGTTTGAGGGGGAATTAATGATTGAGGGGGGTCCTGTGAGAGGGTTCCAAAGGTGACTGAGGAATCCTGAGGGGTTTGAGGGGGAATTAATGATTGGGGGGATGAGTCCTGGGGGAAACTGAGAGTTCCAAGGGGAACTGAGGAATTCTGAGGGGTTTGAGGGGGAATTAATGATGGATGAAGGTCCTGGGAGAGAGTTCCAAGGGGAACTGAGGAATCCTGAGGGGTTTGAGGGGGAATTAATGATGGATGAAGGTCCTGGGAGAGGGTTCCAAGGGGAACTGAGGAATTCTGAGGAGTTTGAGGGGGAATTAATGATTGAGGGGGGTCCTGTGAGAGGGTTCAAATGGAAATGAGGAATCCTGAGGGGTTTGAGGGGGAATTAATGATGGAGGGTGGACCTGGGAGAGGGTTCCAAGGGGAACTGAGGAATTCTGAGGGGTTTGAGGTGGAATTAACGACTGGGAGGACAGGTCTTGAGGGAAACTGAGGGTTCCAAGGGAAACTGAGGAATTCTGAGGGGGAATTAATGATTGGGGGGATGAGTCCTGGGGGAAACTGAGGGTTCCAAGGGAAACTGAGGAATTCTGAGGGGGAATGAATGATTGGGGGGATGAGTCCTGGGGGAAACTGAGGGTTCCAAGGGAAACTGAGGAATGCTGAGGGGTTTGAGGGGAAATTAATGATTGAGGGGGCGCCTATGAGAGACTTCCAAGGAGAAATGAGGGATCCTGAGAGGTTTGAGGGGGAATTAATGACTGAGAGGACAGGTCTTGAGGGAAACTGAGTGTTCCAAGGGAAACTGAGGAATTCTGAGGGGTTTGAGGGGGAATTAATGATTGAGGGTGGCCCTGTGAGAGGGTTCCAAGGGAAACTGAGGAATTCTGAGGGGGAATTAATGATTGGGGGGATGAGTCCTGGGGGAAACTGAGGGTTCCAAGGGAGACTGAGAAATTCTGAGGGGTTTGAGGGAGAATTAATGAGTGGGAGGACAGGTCTTGAGGGAAACTGAGCCTTCCAATGGAAACTCAGAAGGATGTGGGGGCTTCCGGGCAGATTCTCGTGGGGATTCCGGAGGGTCTCACCATGATCTCGCGGACCCCCTGAGCCACGAGACCCTTCTCAGCCTCCAGCCGGGCGATCCCATCCCGCACCTGCCGCAGCCGCGACCACATCCGCACCTGAGGGCGGCCATCGCCGTCACTGTGGCGCTCCGTCCCCTCACGGATAAGCCACGCCCCTAAACCCTCAAACCACGCCCCTGAACCCTCAAGCCACGCCCCTAAACCCTCAAACAACGCCCCTAAACCCTCAAGCCACGCCCCTAAACCCTCAAGCCACGCTCCTAAACCCTCAAACCACGCCCCAAAACCCTCAAGCCACGCCCCTGAACCATCAAGCCACGCCCCTAAACCCTCAAACCACGTCCCTAACCCCTCAAACCACGCCCCTAAACCAGCAAGTCACGCCCCTGAACCATCAAGCCACGCCCCTAAACCCTCAAGCCACGCCCCAAAATCATCAAACAACGCCCCTAAACCCTCAAACCACGCCCCTAAACCCTCAAGCCACGCCCCTAAACCCGCAAATCACGCCCCTAACCCCTCAAACCACGCCCCTAAACCCTCAAGCCACGCCCCAAAATCATCAAACAACGCCCCTAAACCATCAAGCCACGCCCCTAAACCCTCAAGCCACGCCCCAAAATCATCAAACAACGCCCCTAAACCCTCAGACCACGCCCCGAAAACTTCAAGCCACGCCCCTAAACCCTCAAGCCACGCCCCTGAACCCTCAAGCCACGCCCCTAAACCCTCAAACCACGTCCCTAACCCCTCAAACCACGCCCCTAAACCAGCAAG